CAACTATTTCATTCTAGCTTCAATTGATTCATGATCTGAACTATTGAAAAATTTAAATATATAACGAAAGTTTAAACAATACAGATGTTTATTTCACCATATTCCATGTGTATTTTGTTTCTGCCTAATCTTGTCTCTTTTTTTCTACCATTTAGTAGTCAGGTGAATTTCAATAAAAATCCAAGTAAAATAACGATAGAATTATCATGTCTGTATGTGTGGGAGTGAGAGTGCGAGAGAGAGAGGGAAGAGAGAGAGAGAAAGGAAATCAATGATCTTCATCATTCATCTCATCTATGTTACATAATAAAATTATTCAATGATCATTTACTTTATATAATCAGATGTCTCTGTTGACTATATTTATATAAATGGCATAGATCATAATTATATGTGTTTACCTTTTTTTCTCCTTTCTCTCTCTCTTTATTAGTTTTTCATATTATTCAATAGATGCCTTTGATCTTTCTTTTTTTCAAAGCACATACTAATGATCATTGAACTGGAAGATTCAATTTTAGTCACCATAATGAAAGATGGTAATTGAAATATTTCAATTCGAAATAGGTGAATGTGTACATGTATATCTCTCTCTCTGTGTGTGTGTATCTGTATATGGGTTGGGTGACTAGTTTCTCATTGTTATTAAGTGAATAAAGTAACCAAAAGGATTACATAAAGTTGATATTTCTTTAGAGAAAAAATTATGTTACTATCAGGAATGAAGGTTATCCTCGGTTCTTTTCAATCTTCATTAAGGGTGTAGTAATCAGCGATTTCAGTCATTTTTCCATCTATTTAGTGAGTGAGTACTGCGATATTAATGTAAATTTGTTACCAATATATTCATTTCATGCACTAGCTCTTACCATTTTACCAAAATACTGAAATTGATTTCAGTATAATTAAGTTATTTCTATTGAATATATTTAAAAGATATATTCTTTATATCAGAAGGGGGGTTTTGTAGATATTATAGTAATTTCAATAGATTAGATCATGAGTCAATTGAATCTAGACCACCATGGAAAACCTGGAAGTACTGGACAGCCATTCCATCCTATTGTGGTGTACGTTCACGATCCTGCCTCGTGAGATTCGGACGCATTTCCTGTTAAAAACAATTGTCTATAATCCATGATCTATTTTTATTAAATAAAAGTTTATTCACAAAATGTATTAACAATCTAATTAACGAAGTAATAACAAAATATGTTACCATTCATTCTGATGGGCGGCCTATGTTCTTCCACGAGGGATAATATGCGTAAGTAAATTTATCACGATTTGGTGAAGAGGTAACTAATGCATGTGACTTTCAAAATCTTAATCACATATTCGAACATTGTCTCACCTGGTCTGATTCAAGTAAGTAAAGTAAGTTCAGTCTTAGTAATATGAAAATATATTCCACTAATCAACTAGTTGTCATTTTGACCAAGTTAACAAACAAATTTGTCAGCTACCACAAACATAGAGCTTGAGATGTCAGTTTACTTTAACTAGTAGTCCCATTTTAACATGATTGATAGAAATTGAATCAACACAAAATGATTTGATATAAATGACATTAGTCACTACTTAATGACCAATCATTGTCATATGTCTACAATTCTAATATATATATGATATAATTAAATTGTGACAGATTAGTGACTATAGTAAATGTCATATTATGTGAAAAAATCAGATCAATCTTACTCAAATTAATCTATCTTCTGGAATTTCATTGAAGTCACAAATTGATCTAAGTAAAACGACCACTGAAAACTTGACAGCACTGAATGGTTATTTCGTCTTAATAGGGAACCTCTCATCATTGCATAACCATAACCCCATATCCGGAAACTGAATAAAAAACTATTGGTCTTGCGCGCAAGTGCTTAAACGTTATGCTACAGATCTGGCATCCAATGATGTATAAATCTAACTTCAATCAATTCAACATATTGTGAGATCATCCTTCATTATTTTCAGTGAGTACTTTCCTCACAACCGACTAGGTTGAAGTCCACTGGGCATGAGTTCTTAATGAAACTCCCGAGATTTCTTTTCAAAACTAGTCATTAGTTATCATATGATAACTATCAGTAAAGAGTTGTAAAGATTTTTGCTTGGAATTCCTTAATTTTCTTAGAAAAACCTAATACTCTTCATGTTCCATAAAGTCATCCAGTGCAGCTTACTTTATCGATTAGAAGTGACTGTAGTACGTAAAACAGATTTTCAGTTATTAACAGTTGTCCATTGTTTTTCTATCAAGAAGTGCTTTTAATTCTCAATTATTCTCCAACTGATCGTCAAACGATCTTCTTAAATAATACAATACATATTATATACGACAATATTCATATACTGGAAAGTTATTTCGTCATTGGTTTACCACTAACTGACCGAATTCGGATAATTAAATTACAGTGGATTTCAACCGAGTCTGTTGTGATACAGCAACTCAATGAAAATAATGGTGGATGTGTCGTTCAATGTCGTGGATTAGTTGAAGTTAGACATTAACACCGTTGGATGTCGTCCGGCCCAGTGTTTAAGTGCTCGCGCAAGACTGATAAGTCCTGGGTTCGAAACTCCGTAGGGGGGATGATGGACGAGCATTGCTAAGGAGTCTAACAATAGGACGAAATGGCCGTCCAGTGCTTTCAAGTTTTCCACGGTAGTCTAGCTTTATTGACCTATGATCTCAACGACTGAAATTTCTATAATATCCAAAAAAACCTTCTGATATGAAATTACAATTGCTTAAGACTGGAAAATCCTGACTGCTCGATCTGAAGTGAAAATGTGTTTTGATGTAAGTGAAAATGTATACATCATAATGCATAAACTGTTCAGCGTCTGAAGGCTTTGAGATAGTAGAGAAAATTTGTAGCTTAGGTCGATGATTTTGATGTGTTTTTTTCAGCTCAGAGAACAGAACTTCATTGATGTCTGTAAGCTTTTTCAGTGCAAATTTATCATATGTCATTTAGCATATGATCAATAAATGAAGTCAGCAACACAGTAAATATCCATTTATAATAACAATTTCAACTCAAAAATATCTAAATATATTAATTCATAACTGCTCAGATCTTGGAGACCTTCTACAACCATCATCAAGAAGGCCTATGCTTCTACGTGAATGGTAACAAGTTTTAGAATGTAAAGAATTCAGATCTTATGTTTGAGCTTTAAAAACAAAACAAACTCTATCTAATATTATTTAATTATCAATTTAAGTAGGATACTAGAATGAATCATTTAAGTTTCTTGTAAAGATTGTGCAGATTTGAACATAAAGACTACTACTATTATTATTCGTAATAGAAGTAATCATCATAATAACGGCCATGACATGAAATGAACTAAATGTCTATAAGACATGGGTCAGACTATTTTTCATTCAAATTAGTAGTATTGCATGGTTTTATTGAATTATTTACGCATGAAATAACTTTTTAGTGATATTTTTTTTACTTACAAATATTACTATATATATGTTATATCAACAGAAATTGTCATTACACACAAAAGTTTATATTCTAGGTAAATATAATTATCGAACTATTGTATTCTTCAATAAATGATCAAGAATTGAATAAAACTATACTAATGATATCAGGATAAGTGTTGAATGTGTTAAGATGGGAAGAAATAGCGATACCTTGATGGATAGATAGATAGGTGAGTAGGTGGGTAGGTGGGTAGCTAGGTAGCTAGGTAGATCGACTGGACAGGCTCCATCTTTCTATATCTATCAACACATAGATTCATTGTTATAGTCAATATTATATATTTAAGGGTATACAATCCCTCACCCACCCCCTATTTTCTCTCCCTTTAGGTATATACATATATTTTTTCTCTCTCTATCTCTTTCTGTTAATTATTGGTTTATACAATATTCGTTTCAATAGATTTTTCCCTTTTTTCAACGCAGCAATAAACCAATCGGAATTAGATTATCTTACTGAAAAACATTTTCTTTTTCTTCTTTTCTTTACATAAATTTTTTAACAAGGAATATTTATACTGGACACAACTATGATGATTATTCAAGAGAAAGAAAGAAAGAAAAAAAGAAAAAACACAACCACAAATAAATAAACAAACATTTACACACACACGCACTCACACTCACACACACGCACACGCACGCATAGTTTCACATAGACTAGTTCAATTTGCTTGAAGGAGCAATAAAAAAAAAGAAAAAGAAAATTTTTTTAAAAAAACACTGAGTAAGGAATTTTTACTGAAAAGAAGAAAAGGAACATAATTTCATTTTCAACACAAAAATGTGTGTGGGTGAGTGTATCGGTAGATGTGTGTGTATTTGCATGCGTATGTAGGTTTGTGTTGATAAGTAAATGGGAATCATTGTAAATCTATTAAATGGTGATGATGATGATGATTGGCTAATAAATAATTGTGATACCTTGTTTTGTAATTCTATTTATTGTGATCAGTTTTCTTTTTTAAACTTAGAATAAATTCAATGATAAATTGTTCCTGTTGTTGTCACTGTTGTTGTTGTTGTTGTTTTTTTCCTTCAATGGATAACATGGAAATGAAAAACAAGAACATGATGATGATGCTGATGATGATGTTGAACATGAAGAAGAAATTGGAATCATTCTATACATTTTAATTGATTTCCATTTAATTCAATTCATTTTTGAGATTATTGGATCTTGAATTTGTGAATAGTGTAATTACTGAACATTCTTCAATATTCTTCTTTTAGATTCTTTTTAACATACAGGATACATTTGAATAAAAGATTATTCATTATTTTAATATTTGGGACTATTCAATCATTTATTGATATTCTTGACTGTAAATATTTTGGGTGAACAATTAAAGAGACTTTCTACATATCTACATATCTACATACTTACTTATTTATATGGATGCATATAGGCTTATTCAATATCGTAATTTGTAAACTTTCTTTTCAATCATTACGGATAATCATATTCAAAAGAATTAGTAATTTATATAAAATGAAAATGAAATCAGGTATGTGATCTATTCAGTTTTGATTAAAGTATTAATCATTTTAATGATTGAGATCAGAAACCGATTGATGTTAGATCACCATGGAAAACTTGGAAACACTTCTCAGCACTGGATATTCACCATTCTGCCTCGCGATCGTAGTTGTACACTGCTGAGGAGTCCAACAATAAGATGAAACAGCCGTCCACTACTCCCAGATTTTCCATATTGGTCTAACTTCAATTGATTCATGATCTCAAACATTGAAATTACTATCATATCCACAAAAACCCTTTTTATATAAAGTATTAGTATTTTCATTATACACACATACTCGAAAATCATCATCGTTTTATGATGTTCAGTTTAGTGGTTTTCAGTAAATATAGTTATTTCATACACATAGTTCCCTTTATTATCTTAAACAGAGTAAGAACGAAGATTGGTGCATCAATCTTCGATATGATATGCTCTCACATAGCTATGTGCAGGCAAGCACGGCCAGGAAAGACCTACTCACTGGATTCTCGCGCTACGAATGTTGTTCACGAAATTGAGAAGATGGAAAGCGAATACGTGAAGCGTTAACCGAGTTGGTACCTATGGAGGATCCAATTAGGGGGGTTGAAAAACCCTGATTGGAAATCACTGGTGCACATGGTCATCAGTATCCTAAGGGAACAAAAGGCGTATGAACCTATTGTTGCTCACTAGCTATCTTGGAAATGAGTTTTATAACCTTGCTTTACTGTCTTATGGATCAGACCTTTAGGTCGAAGGCTAAGAAAATTACTTACTTTGTTTCAGCCACCCGTGAAGTATTCCAGCCCTTATACAAATCACTCGATCTATGTAGCGTATATCCATTTGGTCCCTCCTTGTACCAATAATTATATTTAAATAAATAATAACAACTGAATCTAGGTTAACAACACCTAATGAAATCTTTTAGTTTAAATAGACTTATCTTGCATCATTTCCCAAATCCTCGCAATTTTCTTTGTCATGATTACTTAGTATATATGTGGGAATTGAATCAGTACCAAGAAAAAAAACAGACGGTTCCAGAAGTATTTTGGATTTAGTATAAATCACAGAAATAAACAACAAATTCATCATTCTTACCCATCCTCTTATACATATCTTAGTTAATCATAATATTGAACATTTCAACATCCTTGACTAATTGTCTTGATTGACCACGAATTAGTAATCAACGTTATCCATGTCTTGTTCTAAGAGCTCCATGAATAATCAATATCAACTAGATAACATGACTTTGAATTCAAAAGGAAAGGATTAGTTCTTAAGGGGTCCTAACCACATACATGACTTCATATTGATTAGTTCTAATCACTAGTTATAAAGAAGTCATTTATGATTGTGTTGAATTTTCCTCTTCGTCAGATTATTCTGCTAAATGTACGTCATCCTACGTTGCAGCTAACTGACTATTCTAATAAATAGTTAGCTTGTTCAAGTAGTGTAGTCAGGCTTTTTTCCAGTCTACCATCAATTGATCAACCAATAATTCTACAGTTTTAAGTTTCATATTGACTGGTAATCATCATCATGATCATCAGTGCGGACTTTGAATCTCACAGATGCATGTTAATAATGAATCTTAATTAATAAATAAAAATCTAAGTTCAGAATGACCTGCTGACTGACTCTAATCAATTAACATATAACTATAGTCCACACGATGTCAAGTCATTAGTGACCATACTGTAGCTTGGTTGACAGAATTCAATCACTCAGTAGTACATAAGTTATTAACAATTAGATTCTACAAGATGTCAACTGTAGTTCACATCATCATATCTGATAACAATATGCAAAAGTATCCATTGACATACTTATAGAGAAATATTATCCAAATAAACAACAAAAAAAGATAAATATGAAAGAAGAAAATAACTAAAAATACATATAAGAGTATCTCTAGGGAAGGTGTGTATGAAATGGTCAGTTTTTTTAAAAATTAATTACACAATTATCAATTTCTATTTCCCTTGAAATGGCTTGTATATCAACTAAGTAATAAACAGATCTCAATCAATAGGGAAGAATTAGATCGAAGGAAATTAAACAATACGAAAGAGAATTATTAGGAAAGCTAGTTTATTGGTCTTGGTCATTGAGTTTTTATTCTCGTTCTCAGATTAAGTGAACTTGTGATAGCTTCAAATCTAGCACTAATCATTTAATACTTTCTTTTTTAGTTATTATAGTTCTTTGTAATGTTATTCGTTCATTTGTAATTGTTCTGTCCAAGCAAATAATTATTATATCAAGAAGTGTTACGTAATCAGTTTGTTAAGTTGTTTATTAGTTGATGTTCATCATTATAAATCAATAATTATTTAGGTACCATTGAAAAATCAGCATATACTACAGATGTATTTCATCCTTGTTTTAATCTACTAGAAAATATATGTCCCGACGGTTGTACTATAGGTAGAACTTAAGACTAGTGGTTTACACTACTAAATTTAATAGTTGAATTCATGAGTCAATTAAAGTTAGATCACCATGGAAAATCTGAAAGTAGTGGTTGGTCGTTTCGTCTTAGCATGGGACTCCTCGGTAATAAGCTCCCACGACCTAGAACGTAAGGTTCGAACCCAGGACCTTATGTTTCTAGCGTAAACGCTTAACCTTTAGACCACTGACCATTCATCCAATGGTATCAATATCTAACTTCAACCAATCCAAAAACTGTGATCGTTTTTTTTCAAACTTAGGGATTGTATATTCAATTCAATAACTAATTGCCTTTCGGTATGCTACTTCTTCAAAGAATAAAATATTGATTATTACTGAATTAAAATATTCCATTTGATAATGATTATACAATTGATCAATGAATGAATAAAAACTATCTAATCCCCCCTCCTCTATATTGGAATGATCTGTCTCATACATTCAGTTCATTAATTTTTGACTATGAAATAAGTATAATGATTCAAGTAAAATAACATGGTAGTATGTGTTGTTATTACTAGATTCTCCCTTTTAATAATTAATATATAGTTAATGTATATATCAATAGGTTCATAAATTTGACGACCTACTCAAATGTTTCCGTTACTTATTTTCTTGTTCAATATATGTACTCACCGGATATTGTTAAAATGCCACCCCTCCCTGACTACAAATGTTAAACACTGAGCAACCCAAATTCAACTGTATTTCCTTCTTTAAAGATACTGACCATTAATAAACATTAGATGGTGGTTTGAGGTAGTCGGCAGGATGTGCCATGTAGTACGAAACCCGGGTCCAGGGTTTCCTGTCAACTACCTCCAACCACCATCTTATTTCAACATAGTACACATAATGTTGATTCACCTAGATTAGTGGCCACATTGCAACATGATCGATAGCATTCGATCTGCACTAATAAGGACTAGACACGCATGACATTGGTCCCCCCCAGTGACCAGTCAATTGTAATTAATAAACATTGATAAAATATATTTTCAACAGAAGATTTTGATGAATGATTTAGTTGTGGAGCATTTATTGTTCTTCTTTTGAACAATGTCTATCTGAAGTTTATACTGATCATATCATTTAGAAGAACGATGAAAGCTCCATTCAGGTCAGTATAAATAACTCCATCAAAAAGTATAACATAAATTCTAATAATCGAACTAATATTAATAAGAGGCTACAATTAAACATTATAAATTTTCTAGATCATAAAATGAGTTGATTTCAACTTAACAAAGATCGTTATGAACAGAGGAAATACTTCAAGAGATTTGATTTGTTAATTAGATCCTTTTTTAAACTCGAAATGATGATGAGACTACAATTTATGGACGACCTTTGAGCGACGTCAAAGTGACGTTGGAAGTGTCTACCTACTGATTAGAGCTAAATGAGGGTTATAAACCAGTGTGAAGAATAAGGATTATGATTTATAGTTGATAGTTAAGGTTGGTAATTAGATTTATAGTTTTTCATCATGAACTGATATCAGCTATAATGCCAAAATGCTATTTGACCAAATGGGTGAGTGAATTTCGCAACAAAACCTTAAAACCTGTAATCCTAAATCTGATTGTTTCATCCATAAATTATAGTCTTGTTGAAATGATTCCAAAACTGATTAACTCTGATAACCCTTTAATAAAACTCTAGAAGTATCTATAAGTGCTTATGACTAAAATGTCCAATCTATACTAATTTGAATACTTGAAGATATTGGACAGTTATTTTTTCATACACATATATATCTATATTGAGACTCTTTGAAGATATTCATTGACATAGGTTATTTGCTGAATAAACATTTGTGACGGCCGTCCAGTGCTTCCAGGTTTTCCATGACGGCCTTATGATCTCAACTGTTGAAATTACTACAATCTCCACAAAACTCCTTCTGATTTGTGGAAATGATTTTTCTTGGAAGAAAAATTCAGTTTTTTTATTCAACAACTGATTAAACGTCACTGAATAATATAAGATTAAGTTTCACGAGTATCCAGAACTTCATGTTAACTATTCATTAATACAATTGATTTTCGATGATTCATAGTCAGTCAGTCAGTCAGTTAGCTACAAGGTAGGACCAGGCACATATATACATCTGTTCAAGTTGCTATACCTCATTAACACAACAACATGATGAACACCGAATTCATAGAAGCAATTAATTCAATGGTGATAATATATAAAAGAAAGTTTGTGTATAAGGATATAGTACAGGAAGAAAGAATTAGTTCAGAGAAAGAAGTCACACACACACACAAAAGAAGAAAGCTTAGTAGACTAAATATTTGTTAGACCAGTTGAATAACATCTACTTACATTTCTATTTTCTAACTATATAAATAATAAAATTAGTTTTTTTTTCTTTTCCAAAATGTGTAAAGTTTTTCAATTCTCTATTGTCAATATTTAAGACCGCAATTGACTAGTTCATGTTTTATATTAATACTTCGTGAATGAATTCCTACGATATATTCTTTAATCACAAGTTTCATTCTATTTAGGATGTGACTGTCAGAGGAATCTATTTCCAGTGTGATCATCAATACTGGGATACACATACAACAGCTAATGAGTCCTTATGAAGACGAAACATGTATCCTTACAATCGTTGCCAACACATCAAATAGAATAGTTAATATTTATTTAAACTAACTAGTTGTGTGTGGTTGATAGCATTATACACTCATTTACGTTTATTATTATTATTATTATTATTATTATTATTATTATTATTATTATTATTATTACTTTACCTTTATTGTATTGTAGGACTAAATACTTTGAATATGGATAATTCATCCATAGATAGCAATGAAGATAATTGTAGACAAAAACTTAAAAGAGGTAAGTCACTACTCATCAAGAATTAAGTAGATGTGTTTGATTATTATAAATATATATTTTGTATTGAATAGTGAAAGTATTGTGATAGATTTATCAGATCATAGGAGGAATAAAATGTATGGATTCATATTACTCATAGTGTAATAAATTGAAATGGAGCAGGTGAATCCACAATTTGTGTCCTCCCAAATACTAATCTTCTCAATTCTTCATGTCCAATTCCAAATTTATTTCACTGAATTATACTCCTTGAATAACATTTTCAAATTCTAATATTTCTGATTACGGCTTATACTTTTACTATCTTTACCACTATGAGATTTGAATCGACAATTATATCTGTGTGCTAATGTGGTATGGTAACTCGAACTGATGTACGTACATACGAAGTTCTACGTTATTACTGACTGACTGACTGAGCTCAACAATCTGATCAATAATATTTTTATAGATACTGTTAATATTACTAAATTTCAACAATCTTATAGAAATTTTTGACTCTGATTGTAACATCTGTTATGTACATCAAGTTTTATTACATCATAAAATTAATTTAATAGTTGAATTCATGAATCGATTAGGGCTAGACCACCAAGGAAAACCTGGAAGCACTGGACGGTCGTTTTGTCCTAATAAGAAACTGTGACCAATGGAGTTCAGCCGTGTCTGTTGTGAGACAGTGACTCACTGAAGCCAATGGTTGACGTCGGCATAATTTTGTAGATTGGTTGAAGTTAGACTATAACACCATTGGATGCCGTTTAAGTGGTCTAGAGAATGAAAGTTCTGGGTTCGAATGCTGAGTACGATATCGTAGATGTGCACTGTTGAGGAGTCCCACACTACAACGAAACAACCGTCCAATGATTCCAGGTTAACTACCACTGACCATCATCTGAAATTTATGTCACTGTCATCAAAATGAATCTGAAGAATTTTTCTTTGTTAAATGGTTGGAATTAGTCTACAAGAATTCCTCTATGACTTAGTTTTCATGTTAACTTGAACTTGTTAGTAAGGTCTATGGGTAATCTCGAAGGAAGTAACTTTGTATATGAGATTAAAATTCATGACATATGCTTCTATAGTTTAAAAAAGTTATCATTGAACTACTCATATATCAACTGACTTATTTAGTGATGAAATGATAGAATTTGTTATTAGATAATTCTTCATGATATAGGTAAAGAGAATATTTTCAAAGAGTTTTTCTTCAATTAATAATACATGTAATGACTTCAATGCACTGTGATCAGGCGCTCAATGTTGTTAAGAAAAACAAACAAACATAGAACATTGACAAAGTAGCAATAGGTTCAAGAATATCTATTGATTTTCAATATTATTCATATTCTGATTATTATTTCTATGTTGCATTTAATTTATAAAGGACATTCAGGTGTAAATCAATTGGGTGGAATGTTTGTTAATGGTCGACCATTACCAGATACAACACGTCAACGTATTATTGAATTAGCACATTCAGGTGCACGTCCATGTGATATATCACGTATATTACAAGTATCTAATGGTTGTGTATCAAAAATTTTATGTCGTTATTATGAAACTGGTTCAATTAGACCAAAAGCAATTGGTGGTAGTAAACCAAGAGTAGCTACAAATTTAGTTGTATTAAAAATAGCTCATTATAAAAGAGAATGTCCATCAATATTTGCATGGGAAATACGAGATCGTTTATTACAAGAAGGAATATGTACAACAGAAAATATTCCCAGTGTAAGTTAGATGTTTTGTTCATATTTGAATAATTTTTTCTGGGTAGCGTTTTTTTTAGCGAGTTAGTTTTCTACGGAATGTGGTCGGTAACCTCATGCCCAACCCTCCTCCTTTATCCGGGCTTGGGACCGGCTGTAGCCGCCAGAGGGACTCCAGGAGGAGGTTTTGTTCATATATATATATAATGATTTGTGTAAATTTCCAATATTATTACGCTTTGTTAGAAGTTCATTGAAGTAATGAATAAGATCTGGTGAATTTTAATCCAGTTAAGATGAGATATATTGACTATCAATGAACCCATTCAATATTGTTGAGTCTTCATGAGTATATACTGATGAAGATTCATGAATTAGCTTGAAACAATTAGTTGATGGCTTTTATATTAGAAACTTTATTCAAACCACACAAATCTATGCATTTGAAATATGCATGTGTCACTCAATTTCGTGGATTGGTTGAAGTTAGACATTAACACCGTTCGATGCCGACCGGCCGGCCCAGTGGTCTAGTGGTTAAGCGCTCGCGCGTGAAACTGATAGGTCCTGTGTTTGAATCTCACGAGGCGGGGTCATGGATGAGCACTGCTGAGGAGTTCCACAATAAGATGAAACAACCGTTCAGTACTTCCAGATTTTTTATGGTGGTCTAGCTTCAATGGATTCATGATCTCAACCATTGAAATTAGTCTAATATCCACATAAACACTTCTGATATGCATTTCGAATTTTTTATGTTAAAGTAGATAAAAAAAACACATTATATGTATTGTATCTATGAGAAATGAACTCATTAAAACAAGATTATTTTTTAAATGGTTAGAAGTGGAATTCGGTACTTCTGTACATCAACTAGGCAGAGATTCTGAGACAATCAACCCTGATCTTGATACTTTGATTTGATATGAATCTTCAGAGATTGAGATGACTGAATATTATATGCTTATGAAGAAGGGTTATTTTAAACATAAGTTATTACGCAGTATATAACTTAATGAATAGATTGAATAGTCTAGATGCGAACATTTAAAATTACTTGATTATTATGTGTTTTTGATGGAGGTTTGCTCTCTAAGCTGGATGGTTTGGTCGTTGAGTATTCATCGTTTTTCTTTTGAACGACACTTCTCTTCTACCTGAAGTTTATACTGATGATGTCGTTCAGAAAAACGATGAAAGACTCACGATCAAAACATCCAGGTCAGAGAATAAAACTCCATCAAAACCATCCATCTAAGCTACAAATCTTCTTCACCATCTCAAAATTACTATGTGTGCATAAATTTATCACTATGTACACCAAATACTTGAGTGTTGTATCATTTTGTTTAAGAGATTATTCTAATAAATAATTCTAATGTAAGAAAAGATGGATAATGACTAGAAGTGGAATCCAGAACAAGCATTTCGTCCAATTTGGGACTTGTCAGTTGGATGTACTTGCATCCCAGAGTTGATGTTTACTCTGGGACTCGAACCCAGTACCGTTCGCTTTAAACGCAATCGCGTTATTTACTTAGCTATTGAGTCTTGATAGCCACTTGTTTGTGTAATGGGGTGAAGTTTAGACTCATTTTGCATTATTTACTCGAATCTTCCCATTGATGTTTAAGACTTCAATTGATTAGTCTCTTATTGGTATATGTGTATAGTGTGACAAAAAATCATCAACTTAGGATCATCCTAAATGAAATTCATTGACAAGATATATCAGAAACATTTTTGATGACTCAATACATACTGAAATACTGAAATCCATTCATATTGACATCTTGATTAAGAAATGACTCTAAACCTATTTGATATTTTTCTGTTCAATATGTAACACACAAAATTGTTACGAATATATTAGTTTCATTACTATTTAATTCATGGATCCATCAGTCTCAAAGACCATGTAACGTCTTTTTTTCTTCCCGAAAAGTTCCTGATCTGCTGATGTGATTTGACTAAATGATCGCGTTCAAATCAAGAAGCAGAATTGATTTATCATTGAAAACAAAATAATATTACACTAGATTACAAATAGTGTCTGATGGTGTACATGATAATGATTTGACTGTCATAGTAAAAGAAAAATCAATCAAGTGTTCGCTCACGAGACCGACAATCCTCGGTTCGAATTCCGCTAGCGGGACCATGGATGATTACTGCTGATAAGTTCTACAATAGGACGAAATAACCATCTAGTGCTTTTAGGTTTTTTATTGGTGGTCTAATATCAATCGGTTTATGATCTGAATCAAAAACATAATAATCTCCACAACATCCTATTGACAATAATTCTATAATGAAGGTACTAAAGTGACTTGTATTTATCTCTTTACGAATGTTGATGATGATCCACTCTTGATCAATGATCCAATAGTTTAAATTACTCGAATTCCAATCACTAGGTGTTGGATTCGAAATTCAACCTAACTATCTCTGTTTGAATTACAGGGAAGTAGGTTGATTAATCTTTACAAATAGTATGTAACTTAAAGCCAAATACATTAATCCATACTTGATAAATGAGTTCAACTTCATTATGATATTTTTATAGTGTTAGTTTACAGGTAAGAGTTACCATCTTTTATGAAGTCTAATTCTTAAACGACTATATGTAAACATTTAAAGCTTGTCTTGAAGACTGTGTAAAAACTAATGATAATCTTGAAAAAGTATTCAGAAATATCTTGAAGTTGGTGAACATGGAAAAGTCAATTAGAAACAACCTAGGATCAAGTACATATTTGCATCGGTCCAAGTTGTCACACCTCATTAGCATAACAAGATGAATACAAAATGCATAGAATCGGTTACCTCAATCGTTGCAGTATATAAAAGAAGAAAGAATTAGTCCGTAGAAAGTAAGGGACGGCAAAGATTGTATACACCTACCCTATTGTGATAGACTATGAGCCATGTTACTCAGAGTCTTCAACCATTGGTTATGATAGTTGGGTAGACCCTAAACAATTAGTCTGCATCTACCAACATGACTCAGTCCAGAAGTTAGTGACTTGAATAACTGATGCCATGCTTTGGTTTGGCCGCCCCTAACATGGAAAAAGTACTACATAATGTGTGATAAAGCTTTATATGTATCTATAAACATGTACATTAATGTCAGTGAAAGTATTAGTCAAATATGCCGAGAATAATCATGAATGTTTTCATCGCTAAAATCAATATTTTGTTTATAATACTGATAGAAATCAGTCAACCAAAAACCAATACAAGATAGAAGTGTAGTTATCCATAAGACACTGATGATGATAACAATAATAATAATGGTAATGATAATAATATAAATAATCAAAATAACAATAGTTTAGCAAACAAAACGAATAACACTGTCATACGGGAAATTTCGACAACCACCACCGGAAATCAGATTTCGAATAGAAAGTCTTTTTTATTTCTTCAGAAATAACGCCACATAGAAAGGGATAAACACTCGAAGAGATTGACACTATATGTGTGTAATTGTGTGTGTGGGGGGGGGTACTTGTATTCGTGTTGTTTTACATAAACTTGAAAAGACTACAAAAGAGTAGGACATTTTTTATTTGTTAATCAACACAGGAAATAAAGGGAAATTACATAGTTTTTGCTAAAATTACAAGAGAATAATTTAAGCAGAAAATGTTTTCAAAGAAAAGTATACCACCACCACCACCACCACCACAACGACAACACCAACAAAGACACTCAACACCACCACCACCAACAACAATAACAATACAACAGATAATAATGACACTAATGAGAACAATAATATCATCGACGTGGAAAATAAAGAGCAAACAATTATTTTTTTGTGTGTGTGGAAAACCTTAAAAATAAAAGAAACTCGGGAGGGGGTTTCTCTCGTATTTATCTATCCAAATGACTTATACTTATAGTATAATAAGATTAAGTATAGTACTTTTATTTCAATGAAGTAATGAATGATGTTTTGATGAAAGTTACTTTTCATGTTTTCGGTTTATTGAATATCATGGTTTAAAAAAACAACATTAATTATATAAAGAAATTTTTTTCTATTTACCAGTTATAATTAAAGTTAACAAGATTTTGTGGATTGGTTGAAGTTAGATATTAACACCGTTGGATACCGGCCGGCCGGCTTAGTAGTCTAGAAGTTAAGAGTTCGCGTGCAAGACCGATAGGTCCTGGGTTCGAATGCCCATAGGTGGGATCGTCCTATTTTAGGACGAGTTTGCCGTCCAGTGCTTCTAGGTTTTCCATGGTGGCCTAGCCTAAGTTGACTCAAATTCATATATTACTACAATCTTCACAAAACCGCTTTCTAATAATGAAATATTAAATAACGAAAATTCTTGTTATCACATTTTGATGGAGTTTTATTCTCTGAGCTGAATGTTTTGATCGTGGAGCTTTCATCATCAAAGCACAAACTTCAAGTAGAAATAAAATATTCGAATTTCTCCATATTATGGTTCACAGCTTGTCCTGTAGACCTCGATGTTGATTAGTTCTTGTTGACTTTAAACTATGAAAGCTAAGTGGTCAAACCATCCAGTTCAGAGAATAAAACTCCATCAAAATCGTCCATCTCAGCTACAAATTTTCTCCATCATCTGTCATCAGATTTAAACTATAATTTTTTGAATTTGAAATATATGTAGTTTAAGAAAGAAAACTAATGCAAATTGAACATGTTGAATTGTTGAATTCATGAATTGATTGATGTTAGATCACCATGGGAAACCTGGAATTACTGAACGGTCGTTTCATCGTAGTATGGGACACCTTAGCAGTGCGCATTCAGAGCTTCCAAGTTTTCACCGGTGGTCTAGCTTAGATCGGCTTATGTTTTCAACTATTAAAATTATCTCCTCATATAAACACTAATTTTGACCATGATTGTTTTTCGACCCAACAACTCTACAGGCTTTTAATGTGGTTCTTTACCAACAAATTTATCCTCAAATCAAACAGATTATTGTAGACCATCTATCTAAGTAATCTAATGAGATTCTATTTAACTTGGACGTTATTGAGCAATAAAATTTGGTGATAACGTGTAAAACCAATTTTTTTAATGAAAAAAGTAACCGAATTCAATACTGACCATATTCTATCTGCTATCAAGTATGGAATATGTTCAGTTAGTTCAGTAGTTCACCATCTTCGTGCAAAGTATCGAGTATTTGGATAAATATTATCAAGATTTGTAATTGTTATCAATTAAAAATTTCTTTAAGATCTTTAAATATTCAATTATTATCATGAATGGATACATGAATATTAGATCACCATTGGAAACCTGAAAGCACTGGGCGACCATTTCGTCCTAGAATAGGACTCCTCAGCAGTGCACATCCCACGTAACTTTTAATCAATCCGTATATCAGAAGGGGTCTTGTGGAGATTTTGGAAACTTCACAGGTTGAAATCATGAGTCAATTGAAGCTAGACCGCCATGGGACTCCTCAGCAGTGCTCATCTAAGATCCCGCACCGCGCGAGATTCGAACCCAGGACCTATCCGTTTCGCGCACCACCACTTAAACACTAGACCATTGAGCCGGCCGGCATCCAATGGTGTTAATGTGTAACTCCTCATATCCGTATATCCAAAAGAAACATCACTCAATAATTATTACAAATATTTTTTGTTGATAAATGCTAAGTTGACAAACATTTGGTTCAAACAAATGAAGCATATAATTCTCACTGTTTATGAACATATGGTTATCCCTATATTGGTGTACATGCGAAATATTTATATATATATAATCGAAATATTGCGTGCAACTAAGAGATTTGCGTTCCTCTCATTAAAAAAAAAAGAATCTCTCTCCCTTTGTATATGTGCGTGTGTGCGTGTGTGCGCACGTTTCTACGCGTAGATATTGGTAATAAGTTAAAGTATAAGAGAAAAGTATGGAAGAGAGAAGTAGAACAGAATGATTGGAACCTAAAAGAGAATCATTGTAGACAGACGAATTGAATTCAGTTCAAGTTATCCTTGTCTATTTATGTTTCTCGTTTTTAAAGCTTAGTCTTGTTCATCTTGCTTTTCTTTTCCTTTTTTTTTCTTCGTCAAATACTTGAAGTTAAGAAAATTTATGCCTGAATAGTAATTCAAGTAGTATCTTCTATACAACAGACGTGAAAAGTTTTGTCATAAATTTTTCTTTTTCGGTACATTTCAATATTTTGATAATAATGAGATGATGTTGATGATGATGACCCAATGAATTTGTCTAATTACACTTAAAGTTACCTAGCTATACTATATGTATATACATATATGGTACCTACAAGCTGTGGGACCATTAAAACAATAGAGAATCTTTAAACTCAAGTTTCGTCTTGACCAATAATAATAATTATAATAATATTAAAACAAGAGAATCAATTTGTAAAGATTTCCAGTAGAATAAACTTGTGAATCTTGTATATAGAATAGAGAGGTGAAGAGTAGAAGTAATCAATGATTTGATCAATAGTTTCGACTAATGAAATCTAACTATGTTGGATGTAAGACAGTTATCCACCTCAGGCAATAGATAAGGATTGCGCTAAATAGTTAATTGATTACAGTTAGACAATAACAATAGTGATATAGAGATTAAGCGTTCAAGTTCAAGACCGAAAGTCTTTGGTTTGATTCATGGAAGTGTTATGAATGTCCAGTTCTAAAGAGTCCCAGAACTACCGTTCAGTGCATCGCTGTTTTCAATGATGATCTAACTAAGATTACTTTGTGACTAAAACTATGAAAATAGTTTTATGTTAGTATTACCATTTTCTATTTTATCTTGTACTGTTTGGTTGAATTTCCTACAAGTTTATCAACTTATTGCAGTCCAAGGTGAGAATGATATGAAATGTCAGTCAGTCAGTTAGCCGCAACGTAGGACCAGGCATATAAATGTGTCCGTTCAAGTTATTTATTATTTGAGCACATAAATATTGGTACAAAGGGGCACTGAATGTATATTCGCCACACAAGTAACTTGATTAGTGTGTGGGCTGTGATACTGCTGGGGTGCCCCAACAGAAACATGTGGTTTTCTTAGGAGGCCACTATCCGAGGTCCTATCCACAAGGCAAAGAAGCAATGTCAAGATATACGGTCTCATGGTAACCGGTGACCAACGGTTGGTTTATATATCGTTTATTCCCTTAGGGTCCTGGAACCCATGTACACAATTGGTTTGAAATTAGGGTCTACCAATTCCTTTGGATAGATCCTCCGTATCCATTAACCCGGATAGAGCACCGGAAATTCGCTTTCGGTCCTCTCAATTTTTTGGACACCCCCGCCACGAGGAGGCAATGGTTAGGACTTCCCTGTAAGTGACCGTATACGTGTGGCCATGTGAATGTTTTTTGAGAGGGAGAGTGTACACTCTTCACCCTCAGCCGTACCAGAGCATTTAGGGGCTGGTCAAAGTTGCCAAACCTCATTAGCATATATATGTTTCTGATTGAGATCATGAACCGATTGATTTTAAACCACCATTGATAACATGGAAGCATTGGACGACCGTTTCGTCTTATTATGGGACTCCTAAGCAGTGTTCATCCACGATCTCGCTCGCGGAATTCGAACAAAAGGCCTTCAGTTTGGCAAGCGAACACTTAACCTCTAGACCACTGAGTCGGCATCCGCATTTAATATGAATATTGAAATATCAGATACGGAAAAAAAATAACCTTTTTACTCAAATACCAGTTTTGTACAACAAGAGACGACTTTGATTTTAAGTATCTAGTGAAGATGTTTTCACAGACGAAGAAGAAGAAGAGTAAACAAACAAACAAACAAAACAATAACAATAGTAATGTTGAATTAATTGATTAATTTTAATCTATCATTCTTATTGATATTCCTAATATCATTTAACTAATTGAATAGCTCCACCACATAAACTCAATCTTCAATTTGATCTTCTGTTGTTGTTTTAAGAAAAAAATTAATTCATGATTTGTGACATTTAGATCATCGAATTTGATCTTTCTCTCTCTCTCTTTCTCTATCTCCCTCTGTATGTCTTCTTCTTCTTCTTCTTCTACTGCTACTTCTACTTCTTTCACTCTTCTTATCCATTACACATAGAATCATTCAAGCGTTCAATGTCATTATTTATTAACAATAGTTATAGTATAGAATTAAATAGCGGTAATATTAAAGAACTATAATATATATTCAATGTTCTTTTTACATAAACATCTAAATGTATCATTATTTAAGAAGATTTTCATATTGTGAATAGATAGTAGATTTCTTGTTTCAAGTGTTAGGTTTCTTCCCCCCCCCTCGGCCCATTGAAAAGTAAAGATGATTAAAATATGTACGTTGATAAAGCTAAAATAAAAAAACAATGACAAGAACAACAATATCGAAGTGTATTCATCAGCTGAATATTCAGTCAGTTAATCAGTCAGTCAACTGCAACGTAGAACGAGGCACATATGTGCATCGGTTCAATTTGCTATAGCTCATCAGTACAACAACATGAACATCAAATTCATAAAAGTAGCCACTTCAATGGTAGTAATATATGAAAGTAAGATTGCATATAATGATATAGTATAGGAAGAAAGAATTAGTTCATAGAAAGAAAGATATGGGGTGATTTTATTCTAGTTAGAATTCAAAAAGCTATAGCTAATCTGAAACGAGGAAAAGCAGCTGGACCAAATAGACTGACTCCAGAAGTCTTTAAGAATGGTGGTCTAGTTTTAGCGATTAGGTTGACTAATATTTTAGCTAAAATCTGGGAGTTGGATGTTATTTCATCTGATTGGTCGCAATCACTGGTTGTCCTAGTATGTATATGAAGGGGTCAAAAACATCCTGTGACAACCATAGAGGGATTAGTTTGACTAACAGCATCTAAAATACTAGCCTAACACAGAATCATGAACTACAAACACAAGAAAATCAGGCTGGCTTCAGACCTGGTCATGGCTGCATCAACCACATATTTACCATTCGTCAGATTTTAGAAGTCAGTTGACACTTTTTCGTTATCCACATCGTGGAACGATACTTCTTCTTAATGTACCAAAAAAGGAAATTGGGTTAGGGATGACCTTACTTGCCTAGAAGTGACTGAAGAACCCGAAAGATTGTGGCTTGACATAAGTCACGCGGCCTTTGTGTGAATGGTTACTTCTATTATTTAAAGCCCTTATCTATTTAGATGAAAACCCTTCAAAAAAAAACAAGACGTACTATCATTACACCCGACTAATCTTAACCCATTCGTTCTATTGTGAGAAGACAGCATCTCTGAAGACTTTGGTAATCTGAAGGAAATACCTCATTGTTGTTGTGCCAATTGTTTATTTTCATTCACTACAATAGTAATGTACAAGTGTCCAACATTCGTTTGTTTTGAATAGTACTTTAGCTGACGTTATATAGTTACTAATTTTGAACAATAACCAGTTGTAGTTAGTAAATATATATCAAGTGTTTATTTTTGTATGTTTCTTCTCTGTTCACCTTTTCAACATTCAAGGTATCCTCAATAAATCGTGTATTAAGAAATGTATGTAACGATAATCAACTACCTCTTTCATTAGGATCAAATCTTTCACAAAATGAACATAATAACAGTAATAATAATAATCATAATAATGCTAATCATACATTAAATTCTCTTATGAATATACAAACAATGCAATCACATGAACATCTATTACATCATACTCATACACAAAATAATCAATTCAATTCACCATTGAATCGTATGCCAATGGTTGATTTTCAATCCTCTCATCTTAATCGTCTTATGAATCAGTCTAGTTTAAATAAACAAAATTATCCACTACAACTGACTGTAAATCAAGTATCTCGAGGATTAAATATGTCACCTCGATCACCAAGAACTTCACCACCTCGATTTAATCATCCACAAACAGCAGCATTTGCTGCAGCGGCTGCTGTAGCAGCTGTTCAACAAAATTATCCACAAACTTCAACTATATATGATTCAATTACATATCAAAATCGTTTATTTGAAATGAATGGTAACAATGCTATCACTACGACGACGACTACTACTACTGGCACTAACACTACCACCACTATTACAGCTAGTAATAGTGATGTGTCTCCAACATTCCAATCATCAACGAATATGTACGATACATTTTCTAATTTCCTACATCATACCAATTGGCCATCTTGGTATAATACATCCTCCTCATCATCATCAGAATCTACTAATAATCATACGTCATCTGTTGCTATGGCTACAAATATGAATATAAGAAATTATAGTAATAATGATAATAGTAATACTACTGCTATCAATACTAATACTAGTAATAATTGTTTAGCTGAAACAAATTATTGTAATTTACCAAATTTCAATATGTCTAATAGTATAGATCCTGTTCAATTTCATCCATCCCATATAAATTTGAATAAAACTAATAGTAAGCATCATCATCATAATAATAATAATGAAGGAGAACATAATTCAAATGGTTCTCATCACACTTCATCATCAATTCATCTTCATAATATGAATGTATGTGAATTGAATAAATCCGATCATTTATTACATCATAATAAACAACAACAACAGGCACGACAACAACAACAATCTCTTATGAAGAATAATTATGATGGTGATGATGATTGTGGTGGTGATAATGATGATGACGATGACGACGATGATGATGCTAATGGTGATAATAAACATAATGAATTCAATTTACTTATAAGAAATTCATCAAAATTATATGAATGTTTAGATTCTGAAATTGAATCAAATGAACAATGTCAATTCTATGAGAAATCATCAATGGGATTAATGGAATTCCTTCAAGATAATCATAATCATAATAATCATAATTTAAATCCTATTCAAATGGAATTGAAAAAGAAAGAATTAACAAGATCAGGTAAGATTAAACATGCATACTTTATCAGTAGTATAGTTTGTTTAGATATTAATATTATCTCCTTAAGGACTAGTTTCAAACATCTAACATATAAACAAACAGAGTGTAAGTGATGTTGAATGACTTAGGGACATTATCACCATGGAAATAAACATAATCGATATTAGTAACTACATGGTGGTCCTATAGATGATCGATCAAGTGATGAGTATTTTACTAATAAGATCTGAAATACATCTGCATGATAACAATGCATTTTCTTTCGCTTACGTGTGTTGTAAATATTAAATGATAAAGTGTAATGATTCGTTGATTAGAAAATCAGTACATAAAGTGGTACTGATAGTTTTTTAACTAAACTATTTGGCAACATTCTAATTTGTATAGACAAAGCAATCAGATATAAGGTAGCATGTCTTGGATTTCGATGCGAAATTCATTCATCTCTTTAGATAAATAGAGTTATGTCATTAAAGCTGATGTCAGTTCATGATGAAAACCCTAATCATCTACCATAAACATCCTAATTCGAATTCCTTACACTCATTTATAACCTTCATTTACTCCTAGTTAGGAAGTGGATATTATCAAGGTTACTTGATTTGCAATGAACCTCTTGTTATGATTAGTTCATAATGTGAATTATTTTTAAAGACGATTTATATGAAGAGTTGATTTCTGAACTAATTTACCCTAAACATATTGTGAAACAGTTTTTCAATGGTGTATATTATAAGATAAGAAATCAGTATAAAGTATTGGGTTAATGGTTAAATACATATTATAATAAAAATATATCTATTAATAGTTGAATTCATAAGTCAATTAAAGCTAGACCACCATGGAAAACTTGGAAGCACTGGATGGCCGTTTTGTCCTATGATGGGACTGCTCATCAGTGTTCATCCAAGATTGGTTGAAGTTACACATTAACACCGTTGGATGTTGGCTCAGTGGTCTAGAGGTTAAGCGTTTGAACGCGAGACCGCATGTCCTAGTTTTGAATCCTGTGTACAATGTAGTGGATGATTGGTCCCATAATACAACGAAATGGCCATCCAGTAATCCCAGGTTTTCCATGGTGGTCTAGCTTTAATCGAATCATGAATTCAATTATTGAAAAATTACTACAATCCACATAAACCCCATTCTGATAATATATCTATTAAGCATATAGTTGTAATTAGTAAGTACATTGTTAACTTATGATAATATAAATCAGTTTTGTCTTAAAGGTCCAATGAATATATTTTCATAAGAATTTCGGTATTGTAGACCCTACATATTTGCCAAAGACGGTACGTGGAACAGACTAAATACTAAAATATCCGATTTGTTCAATTGTTTCACTTCATAGAGACCATTATTGCTGTTCATAAGTATAATGATCTGAAAAATTTAGTTCCTTAAAGATCATCCAGTGTAATGACGTATAACTAACAATGAGTATGAGGTTCAATCAGATCGCTGCCAAATACTGAGAAACCTAATGAATTTTTTAAATTCTAACTAGCCGGAGAAAGCTTTTCTATTTTCTTTCTGAATCCAAAATAAATTCTTAAATTATTTGGATCCATTTTTTTTGTGGTTGATGTTACTGGAAAGATAAAATCAACTAAGTTTTACAGCTGACGTTCTATCAGCATCTTCTATTTTTATTCTGGTCAGCGTATTTTTGGCCAGTTAGTTTTCTACAGGATGAGGTGGGTAAATCCATACCGAACCCCCCATTTATCCGGGCTTGGGACCAGTAGTAGCACCAGAGGGCCTGCAGGTGGAGTTACATCTCCTATTGTATCAAAGTATTTATAAGCTATTAATCAACACTTCTATATATTACTTAAATAACTACCCAAATTGTGTAAATTTTTAAAGATATTTTTACTCCCAAATGTAGATCATTTATACTTACGCCTGTTACCCCCCTCCCACAGTGGAGTATAGGCCGCTGACCAAAATATTCTAAATCACTATGTCCTCAGCCTTCCTTTCTAATTCTATCCAATTGTTGTTCATTCTTCTCATGTATGTCTTCATTTCTCGATGTGATGGGTTTTTTGGTCTTCCTTTTCTCCTCCACCTTTGGCCTTGAGGATTGCAAGTGTGGACTTGCCTTGTGAGGCAATTGGGTGCTTTCTTCAATATGTGTCCTATCCACTTCCAGCACTTCTTCCTGGTTTCTTCCTCTATTGGAACCTGGGTTTATTCTCTCCCACAGTATGTTGTTGCTGATAGTGTCTAGTCAACGGATCCAAAGTATTTTGCATAAACAACTGTTAATAAACACTTGTATTTTCTCCAAGTTGTCGCTACATACAGTAGTACTATCTCGACATTTGTATTGAGAATTCTGACCATAGTGTTGGTTGGCAGTTGTTTAGAGTTCCAGATGTCCTTCAGTTGTAGATAAGCTATTCTTGCTGTGTTGATCCGCGCATTCACATCTTTATCAAACCCACCGTGTTCATCAACAATGCTGATCAGATACGCAAAAGTTTTCACGTCGTCTGAAGCTTCTCCGTCAAGTGTGATTCCATTGTTCCGTGCTGTGTTGTGTCGGAGAATCTCGCTTTTCCCTTTGTGTATGTTGAGACCTACTACTGCTGAGGCTGCTGCTACACTGGTCATCTTCCTTTACATTTGTAGATCAACTATAGAACTATTGTAAATCTCAGAAGTCATTTATCTTCGTATTCTCAACTTTATATAAGTGAACCTTTCATAATTGAGGTTATCTATACCATTCATTTCAATATATCTTTATCAATGTTCATTATTCAATTTCTATATTGTTGTTTCTATTCTTTTATTATACAGATTCATTTATTCATTCAACAATAGAAAATCAACTAGATCAATCAAGATTAAATTTAGAAACATTCAAAGAAATGAATTCATCTCAGCAAACTAGTTTACAACAAAAACTTCAATGTACTAAACAACAAATATTAAATTCACATTACAATTCCATGGATAACACTACAACTACTACTGATAGTACTAATAATAGTAGTGTTAGTAGTAGTAGTAGTACTAATGGTAGTAATAGTAGTAGTAATAGTAATACTACTATGACTACCATAACCACTAGTCCTATTAATAATATAATGAAAATATGTTCAACACCTATGGAAATATTGATGAAAACTTATGGTAAAGATAATTTTACAAAATTATCATCGAAACAAAATGTATTACATCATTCTCATTCACAACAACAACAACACCAACAACATACTACTAATAATCATTATACAGAAATGAATCATACACTACTTAATTCCATATCATCATCAGTATCAATGACGAATTCTATGGATCATTATAATCATTCTCATTCTAAATTAGATGAAAAATTAAATGAAAATAAGAAAATTGGAAGAAATAGAACAACATTTACACCGGAACAATTAGAAATACTTGAAGAAGGTAAATACTGAAATTATTTAAATAATCAATAAGATTATCTTTGAATATATTAATCTGTTGCTAATTGACTGATTGATTGACTATTTCATATATCAGTATAGGAGTTGTGCAGATTATTAAGTTATTGATTGAGATCATGAACTGATTGATCTTAGACTACCATTGAGAACCTGGAAACATTGGATGGTTGTTTCGTACTATTGTGGGACTCTTTAGCGGTGCGCATCCGCGATCCCACCCGCAGGATTCGAACCCATTGTACTGAGTTAGATACTTGTCTTTACTCGATAAGGATCAGCTCCACTGGTCAGGGCTTCTTACTAGAACTCCTAGAATTCCCTCACTAAACTAGTCACTAGTGAGCACATGGTAATTGTCAATATAGGATTGTGGAGATTATTAAGTTATTGATTAAGATCATGAACTGATTGATGTTAGACTACCACTGAGAACCCGGAAGCACTGAACGGATATTTCATCTTGTTTTGGGAATCCTCAGCAGTGCGCTGTGAACTGTTATGTTTAGGGTATTATAAATTGTATTCTTCTTTCAAAATACTTCCGATTTATGCTGATACATTTATGAACTTTCTTATAGATTGATTAAAACATCAATGAGAGTTCTTAGAAGTGGTGTTTAAAAATGCTTCATAGTTTTACATTTTATTTTATAACTATCTTTAATGCATTATTTCAAGAACAACAACAAGAAGAAGAAGAACAGACGTAAAAATTACTCGATGCCGATTTTGATGCGAAATCGTTAGTCCCACTAATTCATCAATATTACTTCAAGGTCATCTTTGTAAGATTTATTAAGCACACCTAAAGTTCTACCTTCATTTGGTATTGTTTACTTGAATCTTTCCATTGATGTTTAGGACTGTAATTGATCATCGGTCTCTTATTGACATATTTGCATCCTGTGCGTGTTGCCTCTATATTGCATTAATTCACAAACATTATAAACAGAGATGGATAGTGGCTAACATTGGAATCCAGGACGCTCGTTTCATCCTATAAGAAACTGATCAATTGCAGTGATAAACGTCAATGGGACGATTCAAGTAAACAATACTAATTGGATTTAAACTTCACCAGATTGCACAAGCAAATAGGTATTAGGACTCAATAGCTACGTAGTTAACGCGATGGCGTTTAAAGCGAACGGTACTAGGTTCGAGTCCCAGAGTGAACATCAACTGTGAGACACAGGTACGTGCAGCTGACGAGTCCCAAATGGGGCAAAACGCGCATCCCAGGTTCCCCTGTTAGGCATATTCCATGTTTGCTTATAAAATTTTATCTGTTCTTTAAAATACTCCTTAGTGTATTCTATATAGGGATTGTGAATATACATAGTTCCATAAATAATAAACTTTGTAGATTAGCTCGCCTATTTATGAGATACATTATATAGTGTATATTACATGGTGAATTTGTGTTTTTGAATGTATGAGTGTAATTTATGGTACTATTGGATCAACATTCATAAGCACTATTTGGAAAACGTGTCTCACTCATCACATTGATAACTACAGGTCACAATTTCATTCTAGGAGTTCGAGGAAATCTACATTGCAGTCATCCAATAATTCACTTAATTTACTTACGCCTGTTATCCCTCATCGAGCAGCATAGGGCGCCTACAAACATTCTCCATTTAACTTTGTCTTCGACAATCATTTCCTGTTGTTATTCATTATTTTGATATCTGCTTCCAATTCCCGACGCAATGTGTTATTTGGTCTTCCTCATCTCCGTTTCCTTTCAAGATTCCAAGTCGACGCTTGATTCGTGATATAGTTTGATGATTTCAGTAATTTATGTCCTATCAACTTCCAATGTCTTTTCCTAATTTTCTCTTTACTAATTACTAACCTTATGTTTGTTATTAAATCCACAAAGAACCTAACATTTTTAAAATATCAATGTCAAACTAACCTTTTAGGCAAGAAAATGACAATTCGTGTGTTATTCATCACAGATTGATCTCAGTCTGAGAACCACTGAAAACCAGGGAAAACTAGTCGAATGTTTCGTCCTAGTCTGTGACTCCTCAGAAATGCTTGCCTATAACTCCAACACCATGGTTAATACATCTTGAAAGCTGTCAGAAAATTATTTTTTTTCAATAACTTCAGGGTATCTTGTAGACTCCTTCTAATCAACACCTTACATATCAATGCTTACATGCATTATGTATTTATTTATTTAAACACATAAACATCGGTACAAGGAGGCACCAAATATATATGAGCCACGTAAATCATTCGATTTGTGTGAGGGCTGTGATACTGCCCGTGTGCTCAGACTGAGCAGATGGTCTTCTTAGGGGGCCACACCCCGAGCCTTTAACCTAAAGATCTGACCCACAAGTCAGTGGAGCATCGTGAGGAGATGCTCTACCACGGTAGCGGGTGATCAACAATACGCCACTTGTTTCCTTACGATTCTGGAGCCTATGTACACCATTGGTTTGGAATTAGGGTTTTCCAACTCCCCTAGGTGGACTCTTTGTGTCGACCAACCTGGTTAAATAGCGAGACATTCGCTCTTCGTCCTCTCAATTTCACGAGAAGGCAGACAGTGGGACTTTCTTGGTAGCGGTTGTATGCACGTGGCCATGTGAGAGCATTTCGAGAGGGAGAGAGAGAGAGAGAAAGCGAACTCTCCTCACTCTCGACTGTACCAAGGCATTTTGGAAGCCTTACATGCATTATAATTATATATATTTAGTTTACAATAATAACAACTACTATTCTCATCATGTCTTGTTTTGTTTTTTCAGAATTTGAACGTACACATTATCCTGATTTAATGATTAGAGAACAATTAGCAGGATCAATGTTAATACCTGAATCACGTATACAAGTATGGTTTTCAAATCGTCGTGCAAAATGGCGTCGTGAAGGTAAAGAATTAAATCATATCAAACCAAATAGATCATCAAGATCACCAAGTTTAGATGATAATCAAACTAATGATCAACATTATAATTATTCAATATTAAATAAAATACAAGATTATTCTAGAATGAATGATCATCATGAATTAGATCAATTAAATTTAATTAAACAAAAATTAAATTATGAACAATTAAATCATCATTCTACTATAGTTTATCATCATGATGATTATCATCAACAGAATAAACAAAAAGAAGAACAAATAAATATGATTAGAAAAGAATATGGTAATATGAATTGGACATATATGTCTACACCAATTCATCAAGAGGTAAGTTTTTGTATAAACGAATAATTGATATTAATAACTTGGAGCACCCTCTGGAACTACTGCTGGTTCCAAGCCCGAATAAAAAGGAAGAGAGTTGAGCATAGGGTTAGCGATCTCATCCCGTAGAAAACTAAATCGCTAAAAAAACACCAAGTAGAAAAATTAATTCAAACCATTTAAACTCTGCCCTGAGAGTGAGATCTTCATTTAGAAGAGTTATGATGTCTCATGATGAAAGATGAGTTATTTTGGTAGAGTTTTGTTCTCTGAGCTGGATGGTTTGGTCGTGGAGCTTTCATCGTTCTTCTGAACGACATCATCAGCACAAACTTCAGATAGAAGTGAAGTGTTTGAATTTCTCCATATGTGTTTTACCATCTCGAAAGATGAGTTCCTTTGGAAGTTATGAGGCTGATATCCCTTCTGACAACCAGAGCAATCATTAATTTAGCTACATGGAATGCTTGTACAATGTGAGAGACCGGGAGAGTCATACAAATTCCTGCGAAATATTGTAAATTCGTATTTTACTTCGTCAATCTCACTGTTTGATTAATTAGAAAACATCATTAGATCTTACACATAGACTGAGTACATCAAAAGCTGTATACATAAACTTGATATAAAAATGTAAATGAATAATAATCTAAAATCAACCTGAATATTTTAAAGTTTACATCATGATCCAATCTTAGTTAGACAACTAATGGAAATCTGTAAACATTCGTCAGTTGGTTTCAGTCAGTCACTTACAACATAAGACCAGGCACATATATACACCGGTTTGAGTTACCATACCTCATTAACCCAACAAGATGAACATCGAATTCATAGAAGTAGTGGTGGTAATATGTAAAAGAAAAATGAAGTATATGGATATAATACTGGAAGAAATAATTGGTTCGTAGAAAAAAAGGTATAAACCAATTTTAATCTCACAGCTTTAGGAAAGACAAAGAGTATATACACCGACACCATTGTGATCGATTGTAGACCATGTCACTCAGAGTTTCCAACCATTGGTTAAAATAGCCACGTGGACTGATGAACCATTTTACAATGTCTTATCCTTGACATGGGCGTGGATTCAGCCTTTAATATGGTCGTCGGTGCATATAGCTGAAGATTCTAATACTAGAGCGAAATAGCCGTTTAGTACTTTCATGTTCTCAATAGTTGTTTTGATAAATTCAGTCCGTAATGCGAACTATGTAACTCAACACTCTCTCAATTTCCCAGTTGCTTGAAAATGATAGAAAGATTGATCTTTCATTATTCTAATCACAACAATACATGAATACCAAATTTTTAACCTCATATAACTCACAGATCAATACTGTTGATATATTTTAAAACCATAAGGAAAGAACCAGTTCAGTACTTGTTCAGTACTTGCTCCAGATCATGATTCGATTTATGTTAGCCCACCATTGAAAACCGTGAAGCGTTGGACGACCATTTCGTCCTATTGCGGGACTCCTGAGAAGTGCTCATTCACGACCTCTCCTCGTAAGCTTCAAACCCAGGACTTAACAGTCTCGCGCGCAAGCGTTTACCCATTACACCGCAAAACCCCTTCTGATATTAATCGACATATGCTCACTAATGATGGTCTCCAAGAGGTATTTCCTGGAGTTCCATTGGGAAGCAGTGACCAGTGAAATTCAATCGAGTCTGTTATGAGATAGTAACTCACTGAACACAATGGTGGATGTGTCGTTCAATTTCGTGGATTGATTGAAGTTGGACATTAACACCGTTGGATGCCGGCTAGCTCAGTGGTTTGGTGGTTAAGCGTTCACGCGTGAAACCGATAAGTCCTCGGTTTGAATCTCACGAGGTGAGATCGTGGATGCGCACTTCTGAGGAATCTCACAATCTAGTGCTTCCAGGTTTTCGATGGTGGTCTAGTTTCAATTAACTCATGATCTCAACGATTAAAATCACTATAATATCCACAAAACCCCTTCGAATATCTTATTGTTTAAAACCTATTTTGTTTTTATTATTTTCCTGACTACTACTTTTAAGCATCTATCACCTAAGAAACTATTCAATTATTCTGAACAATTTGATCCATTAAATGATAATATACCACGAGATCATTCAAATGTAATCAATCCAATTTCTAATCATCAAACAGGAACTTATACAATTTTAAATGATGTAACACGTTCAACTAATCATGAACATGTTTTATCAACAAAAATCAATTTAAATGATCCTATTCAATCGATTAATCATTATAATCATGATACAGATCATAATTCTGATCTAGATCATAGACAAATACAAAATATCACATCAAATAATAAAAGAGATGGAATGTTAATGATGAATTCAGATTTTACTAAATTAAATTGTTTATCATATCATAATCAATTGTTGGAGACGATTCATTCTGTGAATACTACTAATACTACTTCTACTCCTCCTCCTCCTCCTACTACTACTACAAACAATCATAACAGTGATACTACTATTAGTACTACTAATAACAATCATGTAAATAGTTTAATGAGTAGTATACATACATTAAATAGAAATGATTCATTTGATATATCTCACAATCAAGAAAGACAAATTGATATAGAATTAATTGATAAAACACAATCTAATCATTCAGATTATCAACCAATATGGTTGAATTCAACTGATCAAACACATAATTATAAAACAGATTCAATAAATCCTTCATTATGGTATAGTATGACATATCCTCAACCAAGTACATTATCTACTGATTCTGGTATTGGTTCACCACCACTACCACCACCACCACCATTACCACCATCATCATCAACATCATCATCATTGTCTATGCTGTCTAACAATGGTATCATTGGTAAATCACCTATTTCTATTGGATATGACAATGGATCAACTAATCATCTTTTACCACAAATACTTCCTGATACATCATCTCAGTTATCTTCTATGGCTGTAGCGGCTGCAGCGGCTGTTGTAGCTTGGAATAATAATAACAATAATACTAATAATTTAAACTATATTCCCAATCAAAATGTAACACCTAAATCGATAATAACATCTAATGAATATGATGTCATATTGAATTCTCATGAATCGACACCAATAAATTATGGATATTTAGATAGAATTAACTCAGAATTTAATTTATTATCGAATACTTCTACATCTTCAATATGTGCACCACCACTACCTTCATGTTGTTCTACTACTACTACTACTACCACCACTACTACATCTTCTTCGTCGTCTTCGTCTTCATCTTCTTCTCCATTGGCTTCAACATCTTCATTATCATTATCACAATCTTCTGCTTCTTCATGTTCTACACATAATAATACTATAATTAATTTTGATTTAAGTAGTTTAGTTAGTCAAACACCTAATGTAAACATCAATAATACTAATAGTATTGATAATAATAATAATAATAATAATATAAGTAGTATAAATAGCACTTATTATGATTTTTCACGTTATTTTCATTAATTTATAAAAATGTATTAAAGAACAACAAAAAAGAACAATAAATGAACTGATAAATAATTTCTATGCAAATTCATTCGTTTCTCATGTTTATTGTACTTAGTTAGTTACTTACTTAATTCATTACTTCCATACTTCCTTTACTTATCTACTTAGTAACTATTTTATTGCACATCAATATCAAATATTGTTCATTAACAATAAGCCACATTTTTGATGCAAATGGTAAAAATCACACTTTTATATTTGTACACTTACAGATTGATATCTATTTAGGCATATGTATGTAGGTATGTTTGTATGTATGTATGTGTGTGTGTATGTGTGTGTAGGTGCAAATGCAGTATATTAAAAATAAACAATTATTTTGTTGTAAACTAAAAACTTGTACATAGAAACAATGAATTATAAATGTGATATAATAGCAATTGTTAAATGACACAGTTTCTTCTATTTCATTTAATGGATAAATTGAAAGATATAACTTCTTTAGTCATATATATTACTTACACCTGTTACCCCCCCACCCCACCCCACAGTAGAGTATAGGCCACTGACCAAAATATTCTAAATCACTATGTCCTCAGCCTTCCCTTCTAGTTCTATCCAATTGTTGTTCAGTCTTCTCATGTATGTCTTCATTTCTCGACGTGATGGGTTCTTTGATCTTCCTTTTCTCCTCCTCCTTTGGCCTTGAGGATTCCATGTGAAAACTTGCCTTGTGAGACAATTGGGTGCTTTCTTCAATATGTGTCCTATCCACTTCCAGTGTTTCTTGCTGATTTCTTCCTTCATTAGGACCTGGGTTTATTCTTTCCCACAGTAGGTTGTTGCCGATAGTCATATATATTATACTCTACATTGAAGATGGGTTCTTTAGGTTTCGAATAAACGAACACTATTATTGAATGAATGAATAAAGAAAAAATGGTACGACCGTAAGTGGAGAAAGTCCACTCTCCCTCTTGAAACGCTCTCACATGACTGCATGCATAAAATCACTACCATGGAAGTCCTACTCAATACCTTCTCGCGCCACGGGTGTTGTTAACTGAATTGAGAGGACGAAATTCGAATTTCTGGTGCTTTAACCGGGTTAGCGGATACGGAGGATCCGCCTAGAGGAATCGGTAAACCCTAATTATAAACCAATGGTGTTCATGGGTTCCAGGATCCTAAGGGAACAAATGGTGTATGAACCTATTGTTGGTCACCGGCTATCATGGAACTTCGTCTGCTGACGTTGCTCCACTGTTTTGTGGCTAAGACCTTTAGGTTAAAGACTCGGGGTGTGGCCTCCCATGAGAACCACCCGCCTAGGTTAGGGCTCCAAGGTAGTATCCCATCCACAAATCAAATGATCTGTGAGGCGCATATATATTTGGTACCTCCTTGTACCAATGTTTATGTGTTTAGATAAAAAATAAGATAGATATGTCTAAGTCTGTATCAAAAATAAGACACCAGAGTAACGTATATTGAGTTACTAAATTACAAATTACAACTATATTTCCAATAGATGTTCCTTTTCTAAATTAGCTGTTTAGTCAGTTGATTTTGAAAGATTAGATTGATTTATTTATCTGTGATTGCTATCTATTTCTTCTTACTTTAATATTCAGGAAAAAATGGGGAACTATAATTTTACGTGGCAACATACTTTGGGTTTACAAGACTTTCCGTGTTAAGATAATACCCTTAGATGAACTGATTTGGATCATCGAGTTGAAAATGTGGATTGTTAAATTCCTAACCCAGAGTTTAAGAATCCTTATAGCCCCTATTGTTTATTTTAAACTGACCAAAGCTTTTGAGGAATGATTTTAGTAAAACTGACGTCATAATAGCAAAAACTATGAAATCACTGGCTCTGATTTCACTCGATCTAATTAAGTTCAAACATCCGAACTCTATCACAAACCCTCGCATATAAAGTGGAATTCAAGAGGTATTTCCTGGAATCCTAATGAGAAACAGTGACCAGTGAAGTTCTACAGGGTTTGTTGTGATAGAGTAACTCCCTGAAAACAATAGTGGACGGTGGACCATACACACCGTTGAATGCCAGCTCAATAGTCTAAAGGTTAAGTGTTCGCACACGAAACTAATAAATCCCGGGTTCGAATCTCACGAGCGAGATCGTGGATGCACACTACAGAGGAGTCCTATACTAGAACGAAACGGTCATCCAGTTCTTCCAGATTTTCCATGTTGGTCTAACTTCAATTGACTTATGAATTCAACTATTGAAATTACTACAATCTCCACAAAACCCCTTTCTGAAAATCTGAAAAAAAGTTCCCATTGTAATATAAAACTTAAACTCATTTTCTATTTTGTAACGACTTGAAATATCTTCATTTTTTTATTTACAATTAGTAATCCTGTCATTATTATTATTATTACTCTAATGATCTGAAAATTAGATCATCCCCATTTGTAAATCGTATAGTTACGTGTGTATGTGTATGTATGTTAGGTGTGTGCGTGAGAGACAGGCGGTTGTGTGTGTGCGTGTGTTACTAATCAATCAGTGCATTAAACTCTTTTTATACACATCGTACACCTCTCCTAATACAAACCTGCGTTGTTCAATGTAGTTTCAGTGTGAATTTAAAATATAGAAAAGAAACCCCATTGAATAGAGGAAAATAGAAGAGAGAAATAGTTTGTAACGCAAAAATAATGTGAAAATAAGAAACATAGAATGATATAAATAAACATACAAACATCAACGACGTATATACAACATACATACATACACAATATTAATAAGTCGAAGGTAGTCAACTGAAGGAATGTTAAAAAACATAGAGAAGGAAGAAGGAAAATATCTCTATATATCCACCCACTTTTATTTATACCTACATACCTACATAGAGATACATACATACATACACAGATAAACGCCCTTATCCCCTCTTCAAAAAAAAAAGACAACGACTAATAACTCTTCCGCCTCATTTGTCAATTTTCCGCAACATTGCGCACCAATCACAGATAAGGTCAGATGACTCCGATATATATAATAAAGAGAAAATTAAATCAGCATAGATCATTAAATTTACTCTATTACATGATGACTGGTCAGATGATAGCCTGATATTTTCAAGCTTAATCACTATAATAACAATAATAATAATAATAATAATAATAATAATAATATCTGACTATATAGGGTATAATCAATCATTTGCCAAGCCATACCACTTCTCCCTATAATAATAAAACATTTAAAAAAGTAACATGAATTTAATCATAGTTTCCAAAGTTATTAATAAACACACATATATACAGATTATAGAATTGTTCAGAATGTTTTATTCAACAACAAAGTTTGTATGGTTTTATCTTTTTAAAAATGTCAACCTGTAGCTTTTCTAGAGTTACTGATAATCGCCAGCCCGGGTAAAGGAGGAAGGTTGGATATGAGGTCGGCAATCCCACCCCAATAGAAAACAACCATGCTAAAAAAAACTGTCAACCGGATTAAACTATTTAAACCCTGTCTTGAGAGTTGAAGAAAGAATTATGACATCACATGATGAAAGCTGAGATTCTTCGGAAATCACGAGGTTGATGTCTTGTTCCAACAATCAGAGCAACAATTTTTATAAGTACATGGAACATCCGGACAATGTGGTAGATTCTCTTTTCTTTCAATAAGACATAAATAAATGTTTGCAGATGTGCTTGTGTATCGTGAATGGGTTTATTTGTTAGTGATTAGTTAAATATGAAACGAGACAAGTTAATTAGAATTTTATATGATTCAGTTGATAACTGATCATTGCATTTCTCATACTTAAATAATTAAATATCTTTTGAACATGGATAATTTTAAACCTTAGAAATAAACTTCAGCTTAGATTAGTGAGGTGTGTACTGATGAGTAGTTTCATATTAAAAAAGGAAACAACTGTCCAATGTTCCTTGGTCTTAAATAGCACATCAATTAAGAGTAATCTGTGATGAATACCACATTTAAATCAAAACAATCCTCATAGAAACCTATTTAATGAAACCTTAGATTTATTGCAATAGCTGTCTATGCAAGATACTTAATATCCATTAGTCGGATACCATCGGCAACACCATTCTGTGGGAAAGAACAAACCAACTTCCAGTTGAAGAGGAAATTAGGAAAAGACGATGGAAATGGATAGGACATACATTACGCAAATCATCAAACTGCATTACGAGACAAGCCCTAACTTGGAATCCTGAAGGAAAGTGAGAAAAGGAAGACCAAGGAACACATTACGTCGGGAAATAGAATCAGATATGAAAAGGATGAATAACAACTGGAAAGAGATGGAAAGGATTGCCTGGGATAGGGTTGGATTGAGAGTGCTGGTGAGCAGCCTATGCTCCTCCATGAGGAGTAACAGGCGCAAGTAAGTAAGTAAGTAAGTAAGTAAGTAAGTAAGTAAGTAATTAGGTAAATAAATAAATAAACAAATAAATAGATTTATTACGATTTAGCGAAGAAGTAACTTGGTAGCTAAGGTATATGACTTTCAACCTATTAATCACATCATTCGAACATTGTCTCACCTAGTTTGATTCAAGTAGGCCACGTTGTATTACTGGCTATCACAGATAAGAAAGAAGTGTAACTCAAAGGAAAATGCACAGATTTGTGTTTGGAATTAATCAGATGAAGCTAAAATTGAAATACGCAATCTAAATTCTGATTTTATCGTTTGATTGATCGGTTATAGCGATTCGCCTAATTTTTAAGTGATTTTTTCATGCACCGATGTCACATGAAAATTCATCGAGAGTTTAAAGTTACCGGACATCTATTTTATACTATTTCCTTAGAGGTTGATAGTTATTACACTGTCATACTATATTTCATGAATTGACTCAAATGAGAGAGTTCTGGTTTAGATTGCTAGAAAGATTATATATATACTCTACTGGGAAGCTTAAAACCAAAATAAAACAGTTGTCTAACATACCAACTTTGGCATACGTAGTTGAGCGATAATGTGGTGTACAAGAACACCAGTGGAGACAACCAAATGTATTTGAACGCAAACTTACAGTATGTTTTAGTAAAATCTGAGAACCATACAGTAAATACTTCATTTGCAAAATGCCAGTTAATCATCTCAGACTTCATTGTTACCTCATCTCCATATCAATCATCCTCTATTCTCATTCTCTTCTCTCTAATCTTATCAACTTTCTATCCCCAGGTATTCCACTTTCAATTGATGATGCATACTACTTATATCTGTTGACATCAGTAGCACACATCACAATAGCACTAGTTCTAGATAGTGACTAATAACTAAATATGTAAACTTGTACTTGGTAAATAACCGATAACAATAGTAATCTAAAAAAACTTGGTAGAAATTAGTTGAAGTTAGACATTAACACCATTGGATGCCGACTCGGTGGTCTAATTATTAAGTGCTTGCGCGCGAAGCCAGTACGTCCTGGGTTCGAATCCCTCGGGGTGCGGGATCGTGGGTGCACGCTGCTGAGGAGTCCCATACTAGGACGAAACGGCCGTCCTGTGCTTACAGGTTTTCCACAGCGGTCTTGCTTTAATCAGTTCATCAACTCAACTATTAAATAATTTAAGAGGTAATGAATAAATTACTTTATCCAATAGTCAATATTGTTCCTTCTTGTATTATATAGAGATAGGGTAATACTGAATCGATTGATCGTTTGTATAATTTTCAATATTACAAATATATATCTATATGTACGATTTGACAGGAAATGGATTAAATTGATTTAGTCACTAATTGTTTTTTTTTGGTTGATTAGAGCAAATATAATCGATTTCTCTTTGGACTAAAATAATAAAACTATAATCATATGAAATTATTAAGTAGAGTATTTGTCAGATGAATTTGTTTTAATGATAATATATAAGCAGAAGGAGTTTTGTGGAGATTTTGGAAAGTTCGGTGGTTGAAATCATGAGTCACTTGAAGCTAGACCACTATGGAAAACCTGCAAGCACTCTGTGGTCGTTTCGTCCCAGTATAGGACTCCTCGGCAGTGCACATCCTAGATCCCGCCCCCCCAGGACCGATCATTCTGGCGCGCGAGCGCCTAACCATTAGACCACAAAGCTGTTATCTTAAGGTGTTAATGATTAACTTCATACTAGGACGAAACAGCCATCCAGCGCTTTCAGATTTTCCATGATGTACTAGCTTCACTTGACTCATGATTTCAACTATCGATAATATATAAGTGAATAGTTAAAACAATGAACAATGAATCCTGTGTGCGGAATCATGGATGTGCGTTGCTGAGGTGTCTCATATTAGGACGAAATGGCTGTTCAGTTCTTCTAGGTTTTCCATCATGGTTTAGCTGTAATTGACTCAAGGATTCAATTATCTTAGAGTCGAAGAGTTTTTATTACAAAAAGTCTTTTATGAAAGTACAATCTATAAATAGTTCAATAGATGAGTTCACATTGGATCTTTACAATCTTAGAGTGTAAAGTTGCTGAAAGATTAATAGATACATGACTAAGGGAACAATAATCTAGGAATCAAATATATGAATAGTCTCAAATGTTTCGTTGTCTGTGTACTGTAAAACTCTTCATTATTCAATGTATCACTATAAACACAACTAGGTTTATAGAATACTTTCAGCATCTGTGAAATGGATCGATTCCTGCCTATGTATACAGTTTGTACGATGGTGGTTGAAGGTAGTCAACAAGAAACTCTGAACCTAGGTTTCGTGCTATTTGGAACTTGTCAGTAAGGTGTACCTGTGATCTTAAGAGAACTGATGCTCCCTAACGGATTCGATCCTGTGTCACCCAGCTTCACAGTCAGACATTATCACTGAGCTATCCGGGCCGCGACTGACCTCGTATGGGACTGAGATGTATTTACAATGGATTAATCACTGAGTGATGATCAATGTCATGCATATCAGGTCCTTATTAGTGCAAATCGAATCCTATCGACCAAGTTGCAATGCGGTGATACGAGATCGAATCCGCCAGGGAGCACCAGTTCCCTCAAGATTACAGGTACACCTTGCTGACGAGTGCCAAGTAGCACGAAGCCTGAGTCGAGAGTTTCCTGTTGACTAACTCCAACCACCATCTTATTTCAACATAGTGCACACAATGTTGATTCACCCAGATTAGTGGCCACATTCCAACATGGTCGATAGCAGTCGATCTGCACTAAGAAGGACTTGACACATATGACATCGATTACCCACCAACATCTAGCTGATGAGTCACAAATAGGTCTAAACGAACTTCCAGGATTCGATTACTAGTCACTATCCATCTCTGTGTTACGATGTTTTTTTATCCCCATAAAACAAACAAACAAACATGAAACCAACTTTATTTATTAATCATATTGAGTTTTCTTTTAAAGTGAATATGCATACTTGTATATGTTTCGTTGTAATATGTTATAATCAATAAGAATTTAATATTCTAATAAACCACTATTAACTAATAAATACTGATTATTTTAAAGAACTGACAAAAACAACTGGTTCATATTCCCAGACTTATAATATGACAAGTTTAGAAAGATAGAAACCATAAAAGGTAGAAGATATGAAAGAACAAAACAAAGAGAGGGAAGTCAACATTTTTAAAGGTAGGTAGAATAAAAGATTGATTTGTTTTAGTTGACAGTAACTAAGGTTGTTTTTAAAAAAAAATAACAAGCGTTACATAAAACAAGAGAGAGAGAGAGAGGGGAGAGATTGGAAAATCTAGTAGTCCTAGCAGACCGAAGAGATTATTGATCAACTTTGTGGTGGGGGGTTTGTTTTTCTAAACTAATGTCAGCTGGTGTAAAAAATGTTATAAGCTTCGTCTATTATCAAGATTATTTAAGGAAGAAAATAATTATTTCAGCTTTCAGAAAACATCTTTAATTTTAATGTTACACTGCTGATAGAATTATCTCTAGGAAGGCGTATTAGATCTGGTGCAAACCAGAGTGATAGTCATAAACTGTGTTCTAGCCAGTGTACAAAGGTGGATACTAAACTTGTTTGTAGTATGACCATAAAGGAACAGATCATCAACAAACTACTTTCATTAGATGATTTGAAGATAATCACCTTATTCAATTCCCAGTACTACTGAGCTCCGGTCTGTTGCACAAAAAACAAATCGCACCCATAACTATGTGTGTACTATGAGGTGTATAGGTCGCTCACTTGTGTATTCGATAATATGCATGCAACGCATACATACGATGCTATTATTCAAATCTCATTCTAGTGTGTAGATTATTGCACTTATCACTTTTGAACTGTTACAAAGTTTACCGATAGAAATGTCCCTAGTGTAGCTGTACAGAAGTAGACTGGTAACGTGTCCGTTCGCTTCATAAAGTATAATTGCCTTGAAATCCCTAATTATACACGATTTGAAACAAAGTAAACTGCTAACATATCCATCGATTTAATTTCTTTAATGCTACAGTTTCGTAAATCTTTGCTAAAGTTCATCTCTTTTCCTGAAAAGTCAATAAGCTTCCCGACTCTTTTTTGGACAGAATCAACTAAAAATTATTTATATTAAATTTGGATGATTTGTAGGATGATGATGATGATGATGATGATGATGATGATGATGATGATGATGATGATGATGATGATGATGATGATGATGATGATGATGATGATGATGATGATGATGATGATGATGATGATGATGATGATGATGATGATGATGATGATGATGATGATGATGATGATGATGATGATGATGATGATGATGATGATGATGATGATGATGATGATGATGATGATGATGATGATGATGATGATGATGATGATGATGATGATGATGATGATGATGATGATGATGATGATGATGATGATGATGATGATGATGATGATGATGATGATGATGATGATGATGATGATGATGATGATGATGATGATGATGATGATGATGATGATGATGATGATGATGATGATGATGATGATGATGATGATGATGATGATGATGATGATGATGATGATGATGATGATGATGATGATGATGATGATGATGATGATGATGATGATGATGATGATGATGATGATGATGATGATGATGATGATGATGATGATGATGATGATGATGATGATGATGATGATGATGATGATGATGATGATGATGATGATGATGATGATGATGATGATGATGATGATGATGATGATGATGATGATGATGATGATGATGATGATGATGATGATGATGATGATGATGATGATGATGATGATGATGATGATGATGATGATGATGATGATGATGATGATGATGATGATGATTAAAATTGAAGGTTTCAAATATCAAGTTAATTTTTATTGAATTCAACCTATTTAATACTACTAAATAAGAAATTAATGATTGATATATACCTTCCTAATTGTCAATATTTCTCACTTAATAAATTATAGAGAAAATCGAATTCAGTTTTTTGTCCAACTAATTTATATAAATCTATTAATTAATGATAACTTTTACGGGAAATGAAGGATTACACACTGATTTTCACATGGACACATTCATTACTTTCAAAGAATTCTTCTTCTTTTTATGGGAGTGGTGGTGTGGTGTGGACGATTCACTTGATATCTTCCTTATTTATATAATTGAGTTTATTTATGATTAATGATAGTGGACTATTGTGGGAAGAAGATTAAGTGGTTTATTATTATTATTATTTTTTGAAGGATAAAACATTCAGACAAATTCCTGTATGACTGTAATTCATCTAATACTGATAGGCTTATTCTTAAAACCGGAACTGTCTTGTCTAAGTGAGTACTTCAAGTGCATTTGTCTATAGTAATTTCTTTTTTTTTTTATAATATTGAATATTGTTTAGACATTCGTCAGTATATACTTCTCTATACTCAACTTATATATAAATCTGTAATCATTATTACCCACATGAAAATTTCCTTTTATCTCTTTGTATTACTATTACTACCATTATTATTATGTTAGTACAGAAAAAATCTCTATCCACCCACACATCAAGTAAGATGATGTATACATGTAGTGCTTTGTACCCATTTGGCTAAATCTTAAAAATATGTGGGTGATATGTTGACGAGTAATGATGAAGTTTATTCAAATTAAACATGGGTTAGTTGGTTAGTTGGTTCTGTCCTAAAATAATGAAGAAGATTTGTAATTTATAAAAAGAATTTTGAAAGTGTTCTATGTTTCGACTCGAATGATCTAATCGTAAAACTTTCATTATATCTATAGGTAAATACTTCATAGACCTTTTTATTTTACAGTATTAACTGTATAATTCAATCATTCAATTTGGAGAATGTAACTCATTTAAGACGCGCGTCTCATCCTATTTGCGACTCGTCAGCTGGATGTACCTGCATCTCAGAGTTGATGTTCCTCCCTCCCTGAACTCGAACTCGCTTCAGACGCTATCCCGTTATCCACTTAGCTACTGAGTCGTGATGGCCACCTATTTGTGCAATGCAGTGAACTTTAAATTCACTTGATATTATTTGCTTGAATCTTCCGATTGTTATTTAAGACTGTAATTGATCAGTCTCTTATTGGCATATGTGCATCTTGTATGGATTGCTTCGATATAGCCTAATGTCACAAGCATTATAAGCAAAGATGGATAATGGGTATTAGTGAAATCCAAGATAAATATGCCAATAAGAGACTGATCAACCACAGTCCTAAATAACAGTGGAAAGATACAAGTAAAACAACACCAAGTAAATTTATATTTTTTACTTTATTCTAATGATCCTATTTCTACTCATGAATAATGGACTGATGACTTTATATCATACCTAAAGAGATAATGAAGATGTTACTAATGAATAAGGTTAAGAAGTATTATTTACAATTTTGAAAGGTTACCAACTTGTTATAATTAATTAATGAACGATCATTATTTAAATTTACGGTGGGAACTTCAGTCGAATAATCTATAACTAAATAATGAATAGTCGTTTTGATTAACTGTAGTAATAGGGTTAACATTATTTTTTTTATCAGAATGGGTTTTGTGGAGATTTTTAGAAACTTCACTTGTTGAAAACATGAGTCAATTGAAGCTAGACCACCATGAAAAACCTGGAAGCACTAAACGGCTGTTTCGCCCTAGTATGGGACTCCTCAGCAGTGCGCATCCACGACCCCGCACTTTGCGAGATTCGAACCCAGGACCTATCAGTCTCGCGACCACTGAGCCGGCATCCAACGGTGTTAATGTCTAACTTCAACCAATCCACGAATTTGCGCCACCGTACACCATTGTTTTCAGTGATTTGATTTCTCACAACAGACCTGGTTGAACTTCACTGGTAACGACTTCTCACTAGAACTCCAGGAGTATCTCTTGAAGTCAATCACTAGTGAACAGGTGATTATTATTATCAGAATGGGTTTTGTGGAGATTTTTTACTGAGATCATGAACTGATTGATATCAGACAACCATGGAAAACTTGAAAGCACTGGAAAGTCGTTTCGTCCTATTGTGAGACTCCTCAGCAGCGAGCATTAAGGATCCTGTTCGCGGAAATCATCTCCACAACCCTATACTGATAATTAACATTAATTATCATAAATGTGCCAATGACAAGAAGAAAACATACATTTGTGACTGAGTACACAGTTGACTAAAATACTCTTTACTTTTAACAGTATGATTTCTCTTAACGATAAAGGAAGCTTTAATAAATCAACTAACATCTACTTACATGTTAGTGGAAGACAAAACATACATTAATTTTCATCATCGGTATCACTGTCATCATCACTAAGAAAAAAAAATTTATTTTGTCTCTTGTCAAGTTGTTTCTAGTCAATAAGATTCGATAACTAGTACTAATCCACAATGTTGTTGTACTATCCTTCAAGCCTTGATCATTATCGTTCTCTGTCGCTTTCATTCATGTCATTGATATAAAGTTAGTATACTGATTTTATAACCATAATAAAATCATTGAACATTTAATGAAGTCAACATAACTAAAAGATATTTGTTATAAACATTAGTCCGTGTTGTGTTGAGACAGTTGTCCATTTCAGATAACAGATGAAGGGTTGTAAAAGATCATGAATCAATTGAAGTTAGACATTGACACTATTGGTTACCGGTTTTAAGTGGTCTAGAGTTTAAGCGTTCATATACGAAACCGAAGATCCTGAGCTCTAATTCTTCATGTTGTATAGTAGATGCACACTGCTGAAGAGTCTCTTACTATGACGAGACAATCGTCCAGTACTTAGGTGTTTCTTAATGGTAGTCTGGTTTAGATCAACTCATTATAAATACCCATATATACATATTCAAGTTGTGATTAATTTATCTCTTGTAACTTGGATAAACTAATCATTATTTAAAATCCCATAGGCGACATAGATCACTCCATTCATCTAGTTTCTTTTCACATAATGATGGGGTTGTTTTTTCTTCTCCTTCTCCTTCTTCTTCGTTGTAATGATGACGATTATGATTATTCCCTTAATAATCATTCACACATATGTCATTGCTGGTGTTGTTGTTGTTTTGCTTGAAAAAATAGTTGCTATTGCATAATTATGTTGTCAAATCTTCTTCTTCTTGTTGGTGTTGTTCTCCTTCTTAGTTATTCACTGTTGTCGGATCTGAATTGATTATCGGATTAATAAACTCTTCTTCTCTTTTTTTAAATCGTTGTTCCCAATTCAATTTACCTGTATATAGATATAAGTGAATGATGTATGTTTGTATTTTTGATAGGCACAATATATGCTTTAGGGCAATCTTATACATGGTATAAGTTCAACTGGATTAGAAATGAAAATGTAACTTAGTAGCAATGTGTTTATGCTCAGGTATGTAATATAGAATGATAAATAATGAAAGTGAAAGCAAGTTTTACATACATATAGTTCCCCCTCCCTCTCTGTCTCCCCCTCTCTCTTTGGCTGTTTGTTTTTTTTTCCCGGGTATAAAAAAAGTGAAAAAAATATTCTCATTTGATTATAACAACATAGAAACAGTAAATTATTAGACAAATTTGCTTCAGGCTTTAGGATCATTAAGGATTAGAAATTAAAGGGATTATTAGTATAACTAAATGTTCGAATGAATTAAGTGACTATTTACGTCTTTGGGTTTGTTTGTTTTTTGTCGAATAACTAGAAGGTAATGATGGATCTACTATGTAACAAATGACTTAACAGATCACTTCTTCAATGAATAACTTTTGATTTAAACGGTTCCCTTATGTTGTCATTTTGCATGTTTTTAAATGATGTAGACCTTTAGAAGAGAATGAGAACATCCTAGAAATTATAAGTATTTTTAGGTAAAGATAGATGAATGGTGACTAGGAGTAGAATCCAAACATGTTCCAAATAGGACGAAACATGCGTCCTGGATCCCATTGATAACCACCAATCATCTTTGTGATTTAAAGGAATATCGAGACAATTCACACAGGATATACATATACCAATAACAAACTGATCAATTTCATTTGTAAACATCAATGGGAAGATTAAAATAAACAATAGCTGAGACATTAACACCATTGGATGCCGGCTCAGTGGTCTGGTAGGTTAAGCGTTCGCGCGCGAGGCTGAAGGCCCTGGGTTCGAATCCCGCGAGCAGGATCGTGGATGTGCACTGCCGAGGAGTCCCACAATAATAGGACGAAACGGCCGTCCAGTGCCTCCAGGTTTTCAATGGTAGTCTAACATTAATCGGTTCATGATCTCAATCAAAAGCTGAGAAAAGTGTTTAATTACCGGTAAATAGTTTTGATTACATCAGCAGTTGGATTTTTTATTGATCACTTTCATATGGTCATTCTCAATGTAAAATCAATTATACCAATTCTCTTACAACCAATTTCGATGATGGTAAATTCCTGTTAAGCTCTTGTATTAAATTACTTAACAGACAATGTTATTCGAATAGTAACAATTCGCATATTATGATTACTATCTTGTTTGTATAGACGTATACTCTTGATCATATGATAGACTCTAACTAAAGTGTTGATAGCTTTAATATGGCTTGATGAATTATTCTCTTTCCCATCTATATATGTACTGGAATCCCATTATTAACCTTTGCTTTGCTTAGCTGCGCCTTATTCGATTTGTCTATAAATTTGCCTATGTATTTCCTCTCTCTCTCACACACAAACATTTCCCCCTCTGCTTCAAATTCGCTCGACATGCTTATAGCATTGTGATCTGTTCTGTTCACTAATAAACTGTAGTTGCCGCTTCATATTGCCTTCTGATTCCAAATACCGTTGTTGTTATTGATTAACAAGGCAA